GCATTTAAAACCTGACCCTTCTTTGAGGTATTTTTAATTAAGGTGCTGCATCTCAAGCTCTAACACGAGCCGATGTCTGCCAAAGAAATGTTGTCTTTTTAGCTGTATTAGAAGAAAAGACTGGACCGGTGAGGGGAGCCGGTGCAGGATTAGCATAATACTATGACTTACTGGGGTTGGGGGGGAACAAGGTGCAGCTTTTGCAGTGGATGATCTCCTTGACAACCGGCACGTCTTGGGAGAGAGGTGCAGGTACCATACCGAGGCCGGGCATCATTGGGTTCATGGGGGTAATTCCAGCCATCATACCGAGGCTAGGGTCGAAATCTGGAGGCAGGAGAGAAATATGAATGAGATCAAACAGGAGTTTCCTTCCAAAGGGAAAAAGCAACACCTACACAGCAACAATAAACAGAGTTGCACTGAATAACCAACCTTTGGTCAGATATCACCTCAGCCCATACTAAATCTTTTAAGTTGCATTCACATTGCGTACTTATTCCCTGAGTGATTCTCCGTCAACAACAGTGACACACAAGCAGCCTCCACATAATGGAACACACAGCCACGCATGAATAAATAATCTTGCAAACCACATGCATATTTCAAGAAGTTTTTACTGAGTCATTCCTTCTCTGTCACCCCTGCTGCTTGAATGATGAACTTACAGATAATGCAAGTGGGTCTACATATCAGAGCAACTTGATTTACAATATTGATTCACACTGGGGCTGGAAACATGGACACATCTACTCTCACACTGAAACACAGGCAAACTCTGCACTTTTTGTGCATACTAGTCTCAATATGGAACTTTATCAAATGGAAATGATGCTCCTCATCACATCATCCAATGTGTCAACATCTGCAGAGGATCTGGAGTTTACAATTACGCCGCAGGGTGAGTGAAGCTTTTGCATTTGTGCATGCACATGCAAGAGCTCTGCTCACAAATATGTCACAAAAGGTTATATGCAAAATGTGATGCTCAAGATACTGTATGTTTAAAATAAACATGACTCTAGTTAAAACTGTTTTACAGACGGTGACATTTACTGATTGCCAGACATGTTGGTCACCAGCGGAATCAGGAAATACAGAAATTAACCAGCAAAATAATGAATCTAACATCTTACAGCAAACTAATTTCTGGGAAAATTTAATGTTTTTCCTTAGTTAGGACCGCATCTGCATCTATAAACTATCAGTCAGCACAGTGGGAGGGTTCAGCAGAGCAGACGGGGGAGTGTGGATCCCCACAGTGTTCGATATCCAACAAATTAAAAAGAAATTAAACGACATTTAATAACCAAACTGTGTAAAATATATAATGAACCATGAAATTACTAAAGAAAGTATTAAAAGTCGAATAATGAATTTTCAGTGACAGATTTTTCAGAACTGTGATCACGTCACAGACATCATGTCAAAGTAAGGCTGATGATGTAACCGTTACTGTTTCTGCTGATTAATCTGCTTCTACTAAAATCAAACACTGACAAAGCAACACAGTTCATCTGACACGTAACATCCTGCAGGCATCTGTCATCGACTCCTCAAACACGATTGTTTATCTTTCTTGCAAACAAAGTTAAAGTTACAGTTTGGAGCATGTTGTGCTTTTAAAATCAGTCTATTGTTAACCAAATGAATGTGTAATGTGTCAGTCTTTTCTATTTAATTACAGGTTAATTACTGTGTACTTCTATGAAAACTACTATTTTATGACAAGGCAATCAAAATATTTGTTTCTGACTTATATAATAGGCTTGTTCTAAAGGCCGCCCTAAAAGCAGCAGGTGCTAAAAGGTGTTGAGTCATCGTCTTAACTGCTTCTGATTTTTGATGAAAACCCAAAATGTCTCCGTCATCTTTAAACCATTTGCTGGAGGTCGCTTTGTTCTTCTTGCTGCTGAAGACAGTCCTTTATAAATGGGGTAGTAGTCATGATGCAGACTTAATCAGATTCATCAGATGCCTCATAGGGCTGTGCCATGCTGTCCACAATGATAGCAGTATTAAAAAAAAGAAAGAGCGTTGTCTTGCAATATCAATGGCGTAGCCACGCCGTCCATTTATACTCCCTACAACAGAAGCCCAACCATGCCTGAGAGCAGTGCCAGCCTCTGATGACAATTTAAGGCCTAAAAAAA